TGTTTTTCAGTGGTTTGATGGAAAACTAGGGACTTCTTTATTCTTTTAACCTACATGGAGAACAAGCTGTTTTCCTTTAAATATTTATCAGGTTGCTCCCTAAGTGATCTAAATTAGGAATTTTCCAGTGTAGTCAAATGAGGTACCTTCTCTAAGGCATTTTTTTTCCCTCCTCTCTCTGCCGCTGTTCTTTCTGTCCCTGTCTCTCTCTCTCTCTCTCTCTTTTGTTTTTAAGATTTATTTATTTAGGGCCTCCCCAGTGGCACAGTGGTTGAGTGCTGGGTTGCGAAGCTGCCCGCAGCCTCTGTGGCGCCGGTTCGATCCCCAGCTGCTCCCCGGCCACCGGAGGAGGATCCCACATGGGCGCAGACCTCTCCTGCCGCCCGCTGCTCCCCTCAGCAGTGTACTTGGGTCTTACTGCCTGCTCTGCTCCCTGCTCTGGCTCTGGTGAGTTCTCTCACCCTCCTGTGCTTCTGACTGTACCACTGCTTGTATAAATAAAATAAATAAATAATTTTTTAAAAATTTATTTATTTATTTGTACAAGCAACGGGTATATTCAGAAGCACAGGAGGGTGAGAGAATTCACCAGAGCCAGAGCGGGGAGCAGAACAGGCAGACTGACGAAGTACACTGCTGAGGGGAGCAGCGGGCGGCAGGAGAGGTCTGCGCGCCCTGTGGGACCCTCACCAGTGGCCGGGGAACAGCCGGGGATGGAACCAGCACTGCAGAGGCTGCGGGCAGCTTCTCAGCTCAGCGCTCAACCACTGCGCCACCAGGGAGGCCCTGTCCCTGTCTCTCTTTATGTCTCTCTCTGGCGCTCATTTCTCTTTCCCTCTTCCCTAACCAAGACACAGGCTTCTAGAATATAACATCCAGTTTAGGGAACTTAATATGACATATACAAATCCCATTTATTCTACCTCCAAAACAGATGGATTGAGGAAAGAAAGAAGGGAGGCAGAAGAAATAAGGCAGAATCTATCAAATAATTCGTATTGAACATGATATGAAAAGTGCAAATAATTTATTTTTTTAAAGATTTATTTATGAATACAGGAGCTGGGGTACAGGCCAGAGATGAGGGGGGAGGGAGGAGAGGATTCAGCAGAGACAGAGCGGGGAACGGAACAGGCAGACTGACTGAAATACACTGCTGAAGAGAGCAGCGGGTGAGACAGGAGAGGTCTGCTGCACCATGTGGGTTGCTTCCTGGCCCACCGCAGATCAAACTTGTGCTGCAGAGGCGGAGGATTGATTCATACTGCGGTGCTTAACCCCTTGCACCACCAGGGGGCCCAAAAGTGCAAATAATTTAAAAGAGAGGTTATTATAAGGAATGGTTTAAACAAATACATATTTTAAAACAATGGTATTAGTGACCCACTACACATAATCAATATATTTTACTAATTATAAACTTAAATATGTTGTATTTTTAGAAACTTGGGCTAATCAGTTCTGGTTTTTCTTGTGACATTGCATTTACTTCTAGATTATCCATCTAGTGAAAGGAATCCACATAGGGATTGGGACATGCTGTGTCCTATCTTTATTTTGTGTTCTAAATTTACAAATAATTCAATAAATGAATACTGATAGGAAAAGAGCATGCCAAACAAGTGTCCTTGAATGCTTATATGATGGATTTTTAAAATACTTTGATTTTGTTGATTTGTTTTTTCTGGAGCTGTTATTAAAATAGTGGCTTCATAGAGTCTAGAACTCAGTGAACTTACCCATCGCCATAAAGCACGTTTCTACCTATTTTCATTTACATTATAGTTAAAAATTAGAGAATGTGTTGATTGGAAAACTCTTATTACCACCTATGTTATTTCAAAGTGACAGACTGAACTGCAAATAAAACACAAGGTATGTCTTTTACTAAATTTGGTCAAAAATCAGTTCACACTTAAGAAATCAAAAAATGCCCAAAGCTAGGTTGATGTAGCAAAGCAATTGGCCTTCTTTAAAAAAAAAAAAAAAAAAAAAAGTGTATGTGTGTATCACACTTAGCTTATATTATCAAAAGCATTCTTAAAGATTTACAGACTTGCAGAGAGGTGAGATTAAATTAAATACATGGCAGAAAACATAATAAACATATCTGCCCCCTCCCCTCTGAGCCCCAGTATTCCTTGTATTCATGTATTCTTCATGCTGAGCAGTGACGGTCATCTATCAACCCAGAAAAAAAACTTGGAGTTTTTCCTTGACCCACCTTCATCCCCTCCTCCTCTGGCCTATTCTAGTGCCAGCATCACATAATCTTAATATGTTAGTTGATTGTTTTATTGTCTATAAATTCCCCATCATTATTCTTTTCCTAAAATTTTCTGATTACAGGCCTCCCCTGGTAGCACAGTGGTTGAGCGCTGGGCTGCGAAGCTGCCCGCAGCCTCTGTAGCGCCGGTTCTATCCCCGGCTGCCAGGCAAGGGTCCTACATGGCATGGCAGGCCTCTCCTGCTGTGCCCACTGCTCCCCTCAGCAGTGTATTGCATCAGTCTGCCTGTTCTGTTCCCCGCTCTGGCTCTGGTGAATTCTCTCACCCTCCCATGCTTCTGACTGTACCCAGTGCTTGTATAAATAAATAAATACATCTTTAAAAATAAAATAAAATAAAATAAAGTAAAATAAAATTTTCTGATTACATTTACTCTTCCAGAATAATTTAGAAGTACTCAAGTTCTGTTAAAAATTCTTTGGAAGGTTATTGGAATTACATTGCATATACATTGAGATAAAATTGTCATCATAATATTGTTATGTAATCCCATCTAAAAACTGTATGTGTCCTTTCGAATGCAGATATTTTAAAGATTTTTATAGTTTTCTTTGTGAAAGTTCTGTGCATTTTATGATAGGACTATATAATATAGTGTATAGACATATAGAGTATATAACTGTATATTCTATATGTTATGTTAGTATATATATACATTATATATCTTATACTAGTACACAGTAGTATTATATATATTCTCTATTTATGAATATATGGATAGTTTTCATTGCTATTGTGTAGATGTTTATTGTTTCTTTTAAAAATTAATATATGTGATTTGTGTATGTTGATTTTATATCTAGTTATTTTATTATTATCAAATGAAAAAGGATTATCTTAGATTTTTTTTAAGATTTATTTATTTATGCATACAAGAGCTGGGGTGCAGGCCAGAGATGCAGGGGTTGAGAGGATTCACCAGAGACAGAGTGGGAACTCTGATTCCCCCTCTGCAAAGCTATCCCAAGCCCTATGCATATTACCCTCTTCCCCCTTTGCCTACTTCGTTGCTGTTTTTGTATAGAGAGTATAAGACTTCTCTGTATAAGTCACTCTACAGAACAGGCAGAATGACTGAAATACACTGCTGAGGGGAGCAGCAGGTGAGACAGGAGAGGTTTGCCTCACCATGTGGGTTTCTTCCTGGCCGGCCAGGGATCGAACTCGTGCTGCAGAGGCTGTGGATTGCTTCATAGTGTGGTGCTTTAACCCCTGGCGCCACCAGGGAGGTCCTATATTAGATATTGAGGACAAAAAAGTAGATCATCCATGAGCAACAAAAATCTTGTCGTTTCATTTTCATTATATATACTCTGACTTCTTTGTCTCCTATTACTGAGTAGAACATGCAAAACTGTGTCACTCAGCAAATTCAGGGTATCCTTATGCTATTCCTGGTTCAAATTGAAATACTTTGAATATTTCATGATTAAGTCAGAGGTTCACTATAGATTTCTGGAAAATATTCTTTATCTTGTTAAGGAAAGTTTTTTCTCTTGCTAACTTTCTAAAAAGCTTATGGTTCCCTCCATTTCCCAAGTTTGCAATGAACATGCCCAAACCATCTCTGTGCCTTCTTTCCCTGTTGGTCTTTTGCTGAAATTTGATCTCTACTGAGATTTGCTTCCAAAATCTTTTTGTTTGTGGATTGGTTTGGTATTGTTTGTTAGCATGTTCTATCCACCAGATTTATATCTGCCAATGTTTTCGTTTTTTTTGTTTTTTTACTGAGATGACATTGGTTTACAACACTATCTATGATTAGGGGAATAGGATCATTCTTCCTCACAGGCATGTTATCACGCCATACCCACCACCAGAGCACTCATAGTCCTCCACTAGGAACTCTGATTCCCCCTCTGCAAAGTTATCCCAAGCCCTATGCATATCACCCCCTTCCCCTTTTGCCTACTTTGTTGCTGTTTTTGTATAGAGAGTATAAAACTTCTCTGTGTAAGACTACAAAGTCCTAGAGCACAGGGGCCTCCCTGGTGGCACAAGGGGTTAAGCACCACACTGTGAAGCAATCCACAGCCTCTGCAGCATGAGCTCGATTCCTGGCCGGCGAGAGAGAGCAACCCACATGGCGCAGCAGACCTCTCCTGTCTCGCCTGCTGCTCTCCTCAGCAGTGTATTTCAGTCAATCTGCCTGTTCTGTTCCCCACTCTGTCTCTGGTAAATCCTTTCAACCCCTGTATCTCTGGCCTATACCCCAGTTCTTGTATGCATAAACAAATAAATCTTTAAAAGAAAGTCCTAGAGCTCAGGTTAACTCACCTTTGTGTCACTAATGCCCAAATCTCTGACATGTATGCCATACACGCAATTAAAATTGCTTTACTAAATGAACGAATGAAAGAATCATTGAAAAATTTTCTGTGGATAATACCACAAGTAAGTGGTTCTTCTGAAATTGTTAGTATTTTATCCTGTCATAAAATTGCGATCGTTCTTTTTATATTTCTCAGGGTAACTTTGATTTCTTGTTGCTCGTCCGTTTTGTTTCTGATGATAGGTATTAGGACACTGGCCTTTGAAAATATGCCAGCTATTGAAAAGGAAGGAAAAAAATAACAAAATGTTACATACAGTGTGTTAGGTCTTGGGAGGAGGAGATCTTTTGTTGACTATTAAACGTAGAAGAATAAGAGTTATTCTTGAATTTTTAATTTTATAATATAAGTGGGTTCATTATTTTTTTTTCCTGTTCAGGGAATAACTATTCGACCACTGGTGGAGTTTCTTGATGTTAAGAGGTCCAATAAGAAGCAGCAAGCTGTCAGTGAAGAAATCCATTGTCGGGTAGGTGGTAATGTAGTGTAACAACTGAAGTGATGAAAGAAAAAAATGTTGGATTATAGTAAACAATTTGGCACCAACTTGCACATTTTCTGAAGACAAGGGAAGTGACAGAGGTGAAAGGGAGGGAGGGCTGAGAAAGGCATGAGTTGCGGATTTAAAAGGGACATGGCCCCTCAGTGGCTTCTCCAATTTATCCTGCTAAACTCTCACAGGATAAGAGGGACAGCGAATCCCTGCTAGTTAATTTTCTTCAAACTGAAAATGTTTTAACTTGAAAGTTGTTACTACATTTCATATTTTCCAAAATTATGAACAGATTTATGGAAAAAAAATAATCGGGGTTGCCCAGTGTGTATGTGACAAGTAGCATAAATTTGAAAATAAATTGTTGTATTTTTTTTTCAGTGAGATAAAGGCAAAAATATCAGAGGCTTTGAAATTTTGGCATGATATAAATAGAGTAGAAATTACTAATTTCAGGTACAAATTAATTTGCAGTCTGCTTTTTTCTCTTAGTTTTTTGATCATGTGAAGACTGGGATTGAAGATGTCTGTGGACATTGGGGTCACAACTTTTGGAGAGATAAGTAAGAAGCTCTGATGCCTTTAAATTCTGAAGTGGTTCTGGGATTTCTGGAAGCAGGGCATATTGACTTGTGTAACTTTTTGCAGTTGTAAATTGTTTCTGTGTTGTGCCAAAGTATGTCCTTAAAGATAAAGTTCAGCTATCACTGAAACCTGATATATTAGCATCTTTAATAATATAGAAGCTTACTTTTCTCTACTGTACATAGCCAGAGATGGGCAATGTAAGTTCAATAGAAGTGTTCTGCTCCACTGCTTCCTTGTGATGCAAGGACCCATCTGCCTTGTTAATTCCACTAAGAACATCCACTGTCAAAGTTGCCTCTCAGTGAAAAATGGCTGCTTCAGTATTAGCCATCACACACACATTCCAAGTTCCATGTTAGGAAGAAAGATAATGAAGACATAAATGTGTGTACTAGCTTCCTCATAACCAAAGTTTCAGAAGCTTCTATACAATTCTTCCACATCCATGCCATGGCCTGGCCTGATATTGCCAGCACTCAGTCACATGGGCATTTCTCACCATAAGGGAGGCAGAGGGAATGCAGACTGTTTGGTTCAAAACTGAGAATTCTATTGCTATTTGTTTTATCACACATGCTGAAAGACTGTCAAATTCAGAGCTTCAAAACACCTGAAGAGGTAAATAGACTAAAAGAAATAAATTTGTTTAAAGATACACTGTTTTTAAAGAAAATATGAACTTTTAGAAATGCGTATATCCATATTTACCTATTTTTACCCTTAAAGGCCCTATGGGAGATAATAAGATTTAGTACCTCTTTTCAAGAATCTTAGAGTAGTAGTGGAAGAAGCCAAGAAGCCAGGCAGAACTAGTCCATCATTTAATAGAAACTGAAAAACCGACTTATGAAACCATAAATAATATTAATTCTGACAGCAGGGTTGGGAATTGTGGGACGCAGGAGCCAGCTCACACTGCCTAATGGGAGCTGATCATCTGCTTCTCCTCCCAGACTCCACAGCCAGAGCCATCCACACTGGTGGCTTGAATCAGCCATGGTGGGAATGTGTCATGGAACTGACAATCCTACAAGCCCAGTGCAAACCTTTCCCAGCACATAATTGGTTAGGGAAGACTTTGGAAAGAAGCAGCATTTACTCTGGTCCCTGAAAACAGATGGGCAGGTTCTAGGCCAGTTTGGTAGATCCTGCTTGCCTTCTTGTGGCTTCTTTCCTAACTCACTAACAGATGCCCTCCCCCGACTGCTAATTTACATGAAGTTGACCTCCTGCCAGCCTTATGTAGTTTAACATAAGGAAATTTTTAAGCACTTACTTTTGGCTCACATGTTCTGATGTGATATTGGACTACATAAGGAATATAAGGCATAGACATGGGTTTTTAAAATTTTGCAATATAATAAAGGCAACAAAAGAGTTACATAGCATACCAACATGCGTGTGTGTGTGATATAATTAAGTAATAAAATGAATTAGAGATTTAAAGTGGAGAAAACCTTTACAAGTCTGGCCATACTGTTTATTTCTAGGAGTTCACCTTATTTTATAACTAAGGGCAAAATATTTTATTTGTATGAGAGAATAATTAATAAGCCACATGGGAGGCACAAAGTGATAAAAGAAAGCAAACCAAATCTTCATTGTAAAAATATGAAAAAAATGACCATTTAATGTGTCTACTTTTTTGGAGGCAGATCTAGCTTTGTGCTTTCATTACAGTGCTCCCTGATTTACAACCCTAGGACTTTCTAACAAAGACAGATTCATGTCTATACCAAGGCAGTGATACAGAGTTTTCTCCCTCTCATTCCCTTTTATTTATAACCACTTATAGCTATTTTCTACCTACTTTCTTCCTTTCAGCTCAACCACTTTTCTCCATCTTTCTAGAATCCTGTCAGCATTCCCCGAAATGATGACTAAGAGAATAACACGGAACAGTTTGTTCTCTTTCAAAAGTAAATTTGAGCTAAAGAGTTATACCTTTTTCCTACCTCCCTAAAAGGGGAAAAAAATGGATCTGTGTAGATATGAAAATGAGGTCAGTAGGCCACAGGGCAGTGTCAGATGAAAGGAAAATGGACCCTGTAATCTTGTGGATTTGGTCTGAACTCAGCAGAAGAAATGTCAGAAAAATCTGGCTAGATCCTTTCTTTCAAAGAGACGCTATCTCTGGGGTACATGTGTCTGTTCCAGGGAAATAAGGCTGCCAGGCCAGTTGACTATAAATAATAAAGATGGCAGAACCAATGTTGATCCACCTAAAAGATAATATTGTTACACGCCCAGCATTTCTCTATGCAGTGCATTTAGTGTACACTTAATAATTTCACAGACATTTGTATATTTCTGCACATGATGTTTACCAGGTAAATTTTAAATAATTTTCTAGATTGTCAAGTATACTATATGGTCCAAGTAGAACAGGAGAGTAGGTTTGGAGAGATTTGATGCTAATACCAGCCAATTTTAAAATCACTTCTGCTGAAATCCCATCTCTGGTATGTACGAAATTGTTGATGTTACTAAAAATGACCTGAGAGTGAAGTGATTGTTTTAGTATGTTGGGTGTCTTTCTCTTGCCTCTGAAATCCTTATGCTGTAAACTTCTAGTCACCCTTCAGAGGCTTCTCGAGGTATTTGATCCTTTGACAATGAAATGAGAGGGTAATGTAGTAGGGAAGTCTTTCAAACTTGGCAAAAGGAGTATGTTGATGGTGAAAGAAACTACCTAAGTGCAGCTTGGCAGAGAAATAAGAGGTGTGGAAAGAAAGCAAAGAAAGAAAGTACACAATCCCTATGCTCAGTGGGCCCGATGTCATTGTCCTTAATGTTTATTTTTCCTTTTGCTGATTTCTAATGAAAAGCTAAAACAATAATAATAAAAGAAGTTTAAAAAATTTAAATAGGTGTTGTGTTAATGTTAGGAGTACTGCTTCAGTGATCCTAACATGAACAAAATAAACTTAGAAAAAAGTAGGTGCAGTCCTTAGTGTAGTGCACATCCAATAAAAAAGTACTTAAAGGATGACTCTTTAGCTGTCCATAGCCCCTTTGGCATTTAACACAAAGGACTAGCACCAAGGATGTGGGTTAACATTGTTTACTTTCATAGCACAGGTGCGCTTATAAACTACCTTAGGTTTATAGTGATCCCTGTAACACATTTCTCTCTCAACAAATATTTATTGCATGCACCTCAACAAATATTGTTGACATAATAATGTTGCATAATAAACTACCCCAATGCTTAGCTGCTCAAAATAGGACTTATTATTCAGATACATGAATCAAGAGGCTGAGGGTCAACTGTTCCAGACTGGTCTTGCTCATGCTTCAGTGGGTTGGCTGGTGGTCAGCTGATCCCAACTGATGGTGTTTGGTGTAACTGGGGGACTTCCCTCTGCTCATGTGACAATCACCTTTGACCTGGGACTCATCAGTGAATTCTAATGGATCTTGTGGAAATACAAGAGGCAAGCTTCTGCTCCCATTATCATGTCTGCTAATAGTCCATTGATCAAAGCAAGTAACATTGAGCCCAGTTTCAGGAAGGAAGTGACAACAGGTCACAAAGGCCTTGGTAGAAGGACATTGCCACGTAATATGGCAGAGAGTGTGGATGCACAGAGAAATCAGGACCAAATAATCCATTCTGCCATACATACTAAATAATGTACCAGGAAATGTTCTAGGTGCTGATGATACAGAAAAATAAATTGTCTTCCAATATAGATCTTTCTAGTGCTAGGAGACAGAAAAGAAGATAAACCAGTAAGTTATTGAACACATTAGAAAATAAGGGCTATGAAGAAAAATATATATAGAAAGTAAAATAAGAAGTGCTGGGAATGGCACACAACTAATGGGATGGATAGGAAAGTCTCTTTTGAGAAATGCTTCTCAAGGAAATACTTAAAGGAGGTCTGCAGACAAGCCATATTGGTATTTGGGGGAGCATTAAGTTTATAGCCTAGTGGTGGGAGCACAGCTAGAGCATTTCCAGGACAGGAAACATACAGGTTAGATGTGACCTGTGTAAAAGGAGCAAGTTGCTAAGAAGTGTAACACCAAGTTGGGTAGGGCCTGCAGGTCATTGTACTTTTCCCCAATTGAGATGCAGAGGGCTGTATAGTTTGAGAGATATTGAACAGGATCCTTTGCCTTCTGCATTGTGGATAAGTTGTAAGAATGCAGTGGTGGAAGCGGGGGAACAAATAGATGCCTGTGGCAAGATTCCATTAAGATGGTCATGTTTGAGATGTGGGTGATAGCATTAGAAATGGTGAAAATGGTTGAATTTTCTATGTATTCTCATGGTGGAACATAACCAAAATTGCTAATAGAGAGAGTGGGGAGTATTAATTTGCTTCAGTTGCTATAACAGATTAAGGGTTTCAATAACAGAAATTTATTTTCTCACAATTCTGGGAGCTAGAAGTCCAAGATCATTGTGTTGGTAGATCTGGTCACTTCTGAAAGTCATGAGGGAAAACTCTGTTCCAGGCCTCTCTGTTTGATTTGTAGAGGGCCTTCTTCCTGCCTTTTTGTATCCTATTTCTTCCATACATGTATTTGTTCAAATTTCCTCTTGTTATATAGATACCAATCAGGTTGGATTTGTACTCACCCTGATAACCTCATTTTTACCTAATCACCTCTTATAAAGACCCCATCTCCAAATGTGGTCTGTTACATTCTGAGGTACTGGGGGCTAGGACTTCAACATATGAATTTTTAGGGGGCTGCAGTTCAGTCTATAACTCCAAATATGAGAGGAGAAGAAACAAAGATAATACCATGATTTTTGGCCTGGTGGTGTTGTCTTTAACTACAGTGGAGAGAAGATCAGTTGAACTTGAGGTTCCTTTTAAACACCCAAGTGGAGATGTTGAGTAGGCAGCTAAAAATTCATTTCTGGGATTTGGCAGAGTATTTGGAGTATTTGTATCCTGGAGATACAAATTTTGGAGTTATTGGCATAGAAACATTATTTTAATTCATGAGATTCAGCAAGATAACCAAGGAGTGAGTGAAGGTGAAGAAGGAAAGACAAAAGACTGAGCCCTCAGGCATTCCTACACCAAGACATCAGAAAGAAGGAAAAGAACTGACAAAGAGGCTGAGAAGGAGAGAAACGGCATCTAGGGGGGTTGTGGTGTCTTAGAAGAAAATGTTTTCAGCAGGAAGGTTCAGGAAGGGGAAGAAAAATAATTGGTGAGTAGATTTATATGTGGGGGGCATCATTGATGACCTTAATGAGAGTAATTTTTTGTTGGAAGCAGTAACCTGATTTGTCACTGTTCAAGAAAGAATCAGAGGAGAGGAATTGAAGACAGAGGATTATTAACAACACTTTCAAGTCATTTTGCTGGAAGGGGAATGAGAGAAATAGAAACTATAGAAATATATACATATATATTTTATAATTAGTGAGTATGAGCTGTATGTATGCCATGGTCTTATACAAATATATACCAATAAATGCCATGTATGTGTACCTTATATACACAAATATTCAGGGATGCAGATATAAAAGTATATGTAATGATCAGACTAGCTAAACACTTAGTCCATATTCCCTGAGAGTAGTCAAAATGAATTTATTGGTAAAAACCAGATTTTCTCTTAGTCAGTGTTGCTTTAATTAATTGAAGCTTTGCTTTTTCACTTCCAGGTTTAAGAAGTTTGATGACAAATACCTGCGGAAGCTTCTGATTCGGGAAAACCAACCCAAGTCAAGCATTGTGTCCTTATATAAAAAACTTGAAATAAAACATGCCATTGAGATGGCAGAGACTGGGCTGATAAGCACTGTCCCTTCTTTTGCATCTCTAAAGTAAGTACTGTTTTGCAAATAAAAGTTAACAATATTAAATCTGTCTTTATAATACTTTGAAATCAGCAATCATAACAAATTTGACCTCTGCCCTAGAGATATTCCTTGACATCTCACAACCAAAAAAGATCTTAGTTAATATGAAAATCTAGAGAGCTGCACGTTTTGTTACATTGTCATGTCATATGTCCCGTCATATCATGTCATACTATGTTAGAATTGATGAGTCAGAAAATATTTTGTTCTGTGTAAGAGGATTATGCCTATATTATGTTTGCTTTGGGCAATTCAGTGCTTATTGAAAGTAAATTAAAGTCTCTAGCAAGCATTTTGAAATCGAATAGTTTGAGGCATTTTAAATTTGCTCTTGCAAAAATGCATGCAATTACATAGCTGTTTTCCTTGTAGATTATTCAGAGTCATACCTTAAGGACTGGAAAGAAAATCAGTGATCATATAGTGCAGTGGTTTACACCATGGGAACATTTAAATATAATCAATTCCTGGGATCCATCCAGACCGGTAAAATGAAAATCTCTGTTCTTAGGCCCAGGGATAGGTGTCTTTATAAGTTTTTCAGATGTTTTTAATATACGGCTAGGATTGAGATCCACCAATCTAGTCTCTCTCCCTAGTTTTAAAAGTGACAACATGAAGAACTATAATGATGAAGCGAACTAAACAAAATCTTACAACAAAATCAGTAGCAGAACAGTTAAATATTCAATTAGCAAGTGAGGTCATTCATTATGCAGTCATCATTGCACCTCTAGCACAAAAATGACTGAAATTACAGCTTTCTTCTTTCACTGATGAGCTTGAAACTCATTTAAACTAAATGTCACCTAATTAAAATGTTGCCAAGGGGTGTATTAAAATGAGAGGGGAAGCTCCAAGTCACACCCAACTATGAAAACTAATATTTTACTAGGAATTGAAGTCCCCTATAAAAATTATGGGAGTTCACACCATCCAGAGTAAAAAGAAGTGATCAGGAAGGCTTGGAAGGAAAGACATTCGAATGCATTAGAAACAATATTTTAAGAGAGAATGACTGAGAATCTCCCAAATTAGATAAAAGATGTAAAGTATGAGAAACCGCAAATAAATGGAATAAAAAGAAAACCAAATATAGATATAGGCTAAATAAAACTGCTAAAAATCAGAAAAGAGAAAAATTTTAAATGTGCACATGGGGAGAAGGGGAGCAAGCTTTTTAAAGGAGAAAAAACTGAAAAGTGACTCCTTATGCTTAAAACTAGACAGCATTTCAGACAATGCTTGGAGGACAGTTTAAGCAGTAAAATCATCATCCAAAATGTGAAACTGTATTACTAAGTGCCCTGTGAAAATGACACTTGTGTAGAATACCAGATTCAAAGTAGAAGGCAGGTACCACCAAGCTCCCCCTCTTTAGGAACCTGTGTGTCAGGCAGCTCTCCTTTCCCCCCACTTTCCACATATCTATGAATAATGAGGAAAATGCCATTCATGTTGATATTGTGTTTAGAAATAAATTTTATCAAATGGACAAATTTGCAAATACAGAATTCCTGAATAATGAGGATCAACTGTATCGTGCTTATGTATGGTAGGTGTTGTCTTTGCAAATATTTCTAATGAGGTATTTAAAAGACCAGGCCATAAAAGCAAAACGTAGCTAATCAAGTTTCTGTTGGAAAAACTCCTCTATTGCTTTATTTATGGAGTACTAGAAATAATCAAATGATAGCATTACAAGCTACTGTAGTTTTTCTCCATAAAAAATAACTGTATGGACAGATTCTAGAATCTTGTACATGATTAAACTTATGAAGAATGGTTAGACACCAAAATCAAAAGTTCAGAATTGTGAATTATTTGAAAATATCAGGTAATTTCCAAGTGTTCAAAGTAACATTCTTAAATAATAATGTTATATTTTCTGGAAAGAAAATTGATGATTTTAATATTGATTGAATAGTAAAATAGTCTTATTTTAAACTTTCACAGTGACTGTCGTGAAGAAAAAATAAGGAAGCTCACACCTGGTGAAATGGATGAAATTCGAGAAATATTATCGAGAAATCTCTATCAAATCCGCCAACGAGTGAGGATAATTTATTTAGCAAAATATTTGTTTGCCCTTGGCTAAAAATTTGTGTTTTGATTTTATGCTATCCAGCTATAAAGGACAGCACCTCACCTTTGTGTCAGCCTCTGTAGGTCCCACACCCAGCACTGCTTCACCCTGTCTTGTGTTGGGGTGTCACTCTCCTTCTGGATACCATGGGTAAAACCTTGTAGTTCCCTTGGGAGTTCTGCTCTTATGAGTTTGGAAGTTAAGTTAAATTTTTTAAAGAAGATAGCTTTATAGCTTAGAAGTCTTTAAAAAATATAATCTTCATTATTTAGAAAGTGCTTTAAAGCATGTTCTGAGTCACTTCTTTCACTATTTTTCTCATGGTTAGCAACTCTTTTTAATTATTTACTTACAGTATCACTAACACTTAGAGAATACATACAGTTTTCCATGCCCACATTTCAGGGCACTGCATATGTGAACTTACTTGTTTCTCCAACAAGAGGTAAATACTACTGTTGTCTCCATTTTGCAGATGGAGAAATTGAAGAGCAGTCAGATGAAGTGGCATGTTAGGAGTTCTTTTTTTATTTTATATATATTTTTTACATCATTTTTCATTTTTGTACAATGTATGCATTTTCATCTTGGTTATAGTCCCCATAAAATTCCCACCACCCTTGTTTTGATCCTATTTCCCTTCTCCACCCTGTAGTATGTCTCTGGTTTATAGTTGCCAGTTGATTTTGATTTTTGATTATTATAATTAGTTTTTTTTGTGATTCCTTATTTGGGTCTTCTACATTCCTGCTATGAGTGAGACAATCCGGTATTTTTCTTTTTCTTTCTGGCTTATTTCACTGAGCATGATCCCTTCCAGCTCCATCCATGTTGCTGCAAATGGCATGAGTTTATCTTTTCAGATTGCTGAGTGATATTCCATTGTGTATATGTACCACATCTTCTTGATCCAGTCATTTATTTTTAGGTATTTGGGTTGTTTCCATAGCTTACCTATTGTAACAATGTCAGGAGTTCTTATTCATTTAGCATCTAAGCCTCTCCCTAAAGGCTGTTCCCATTCGAGCCTGCATTGCTGGTGTTCCACCCTTTCCCCTTAAGCACCTTGTAATGGCAGCATTCTACTATCTAAAATGAAACAAAATCATAATTGTGTCTTTCAGATTAAACTATTCTTTCAGAATTTGGGATTTCTATTTCCAAGCTCTACTTTATCCATTCTTATTCCACATTTCCCAAGAGCCCTCATAGTGACAAGTTCTGTTGTTGTTCCTTGACTGATGTTGACCTTTTAGACTCTGCCCAGAATGTTCCACTGCTTCCTGTCAGCTGATCAATATCCACCAATTTGTGTGTTTCCCCAACAGTCTCCACTCCCAGCCCTACCTTTAAAATGGAACCATACCACATAATGTCAGCACATAATGTCATAGTTTTGTATTATTTTGTTGGTCTTAGATGCCCAACTAGATAGTAAATTCAAGTCAGGGATTGAGCCTCACTTTATAGACTTTTGCCTATCTTTATTCGAACTAGTGTAGTTCTAGATACAGGGCTATTCCCAAGTAAGCTCCATTAGTTTTGCCAGAAAATGAACATAGTTACCAATTCCAGTCTTCAGAAATAGATTTCTATGGAACTTATAAAACTAAAAAAGTGTGCCAGATATAGCCCTAGTTTAGAAAATTACTGTTTCAAATACTAGGACGTGATCATTAACAGTAATGGCAACTGCTTTTTCAATTTGACAACTCAATTGAAAAGAAATTTTCCTTAAACAAAAGGACAGGGCACCACCAAGTGGCTCAAAGTGGTTTGTTTTAACACTAGTAATTCCTGTTCAATAGGTGAATGAAAATAATTTGTATTCCCCACCCTCTCGTCAGCTGCTAATACAAGGTGCTTCAGAATGGATAATAGCATGTGATGAATGTAAAGATTTTTCTTACTTACAAAGATCACACTTAAAAAACATATTCACTGACTTATATTAGAAGACAAATGCTTTTAAAATTTGAAAGAATGTTAACTTTTTTCTTACTTATAGTTCTTAAGTATCTAGCTTAATGGTCAACTTTTGGAATTTCTGGGCAATGAGCAGATATTTTATAAAATGTTGCTTGTGTTTTCCTTTCAGACTTTGTCATACAACAGACACAACCTAACTACTGACACAAGTGAGAGACAAGCAAAGGAAATTCTGATCCGCCGAAGGCACAGTTTGCGAGAAAGCATTAGGAAAGACAACAGCTTGAACCGGGAGCGCAGGGTAACTGAGTTCATGCTTCTGGGAGGTAGAGGGTCCAGGGGCAGGACCAGCAGTTGTTCTAGAGGCTCGGCTGATGGAGGACTCTGGGATGGAGCTACTTACAAAGACTTTTCAGATCTTTCTTCGACACCTGTTATATTCCAAACAATGTCTTAGGCACTTGGAATACGTTGGTGAACAGAAACACAAGCATGCCTACTACGCTTGTAGAATTCATCTTCTAGTGAGAGAAAGGCAATTGGCAATAGATAGAATAAGAAAATTATCTGTGATGTTAGTAGACAATAGTGCTATGAAAAATAACAAAAAAAGCTGAGGAAAGCTGTTGGGAATGCAGGGAAGGGTCAGTTTACAATTTAATTTTTTTTATTTATGCACACAAGAGCTGGGGTACAGGCCAGAGGTGTGGGGGGTGAGAGGATTCCCCAGAGACAGAGTGGGGAACAGAACAGGAAGACTGACCGAAATACACTGCTGAGGGGGTCAGCGGGTGAGTCAGGAGAGGTCTGCCTTGCCATGTGGGTTTTTCCCTGGGCGGGGATCAAACTCATGCTGCAAAGGCTGCGGGTAGCTTTATAGTGCAGTGCTTAATCCCTTGCGCCACCAGGGAGGCCCTCAGTTTACAATTTTAAACAGAATGACCAGGTCAGGCTTCATTGGGAAAGTAATATTTAACTTTTCCAGGGGAAGGTTGCAGCTCCAAGATGTGCAAGCAGCTGTACTGAAATGTCAGGGCATTACATTAGTGCCTGGGAATGAGAATTCACAGTGCAGTTTGGTCCCACTTCACTTGGTCCAAGGCATTGGCAGTAGATAAGGAAAACCATTTTATTTTATTTTTTTAAAGATTTATTTATTTATGCATAGAAGAACTGGATACAGGCCAGAGGTGTGGGTGGTGAGAGGATTCACTAGAGACAGAGTGGGGAACAGAACAGGCAAATTGACCGAAATACACTGCTGAGGGGAGCAGCGGGCGAGTCAGGGGAGGTCCTTTGCACCATGTGGGTATCTCCACGGCCAGGGATCAAACTCATGCTGTAGTGGCTGTAGATAGCTTCATAGGTCGCGTCTTAACCCCTTGTGCCACCAGGGAGGCCCAGGAAAACCATTTTAAAACAATTGATTTAGCTTAACAGGAATTGCCTCTTATTTTTTATAATATTCTGTATTGGGTCATCCTAGATTGGAATATTTAGGTGTGTACATTATCTTTTCTTAATGTGTGAAATGTGACACTACTAATTAAAAGTTAAAGAAACTAGAAACTGTAGCTTTGGAAATGGCAGCAAGTTAGCTACAATAATACATTTTTCCCCTATTATTTCTAAAGCTTACCAAAGTAATTTAAACCTGAATAAGATATATTTTTTCATGTATTTTCCCCCACATATATAGCTTTTATGTCTTTTTTAATAATACTCTTAAAAATAGGTATTACTGTAGCTTTTTTGAGACAAAATCCAGTGGTTTTTTCACATCGTGTATTTTGATTCCACTTTGTTTCCATTTTCCTTAGCACTTATTTCTATTATATTTTGGAAGAGATTGAATTATTTTATTTTATTTTTTTAAAGATTTATTTATTTATGCATACAAGAGCTGGGATACAGGCCAGAGATGTAGGGGAGGGGTGGTGAGAGGGTTCACAAGAGACAGAGTGGGGAGCAGAACAGGCAGACTGACTGAAATACACTGCTGAGGGGAGCAGCAGGCAAGACAGGAGAGGTCCGCTGCACCATGTGGGTTTCTTTCCAACCGGCCAGGGATCAAACTCGTGCTGCAGAGACTACAGACCACTTCATAGTGCAGTGCTTAACCCCCTGCGCCACCAGGGAGACCCGAGATTGAATTATTTTAAATAAAAGAATTATTGCTTGGAACTTTATTCCTCATCCTTACAACCTTTTGCAAAGTAGTTTGGAATGAAGTGCTAAAATTTTAATTTTAGCTTGCCATAGAATTTTTAATACCTAATCTAAAATAATAACATCTACATAACCTAAATAGTTTTCTTTTTTTTTTTAAAGACTTATTTATTTATACAAGCACTGGGTACAGTCAGAAGCGTGTGAGGGTGAGAGAATTCACCAGAGCCAGAGCGGGGAGCAGAACAGGCAGAAGGACCGAAGTACACTGCTGAGGGGAGCTGCGGGCAGCAGGAGAGGTCTGCGCGCCATGTGGGACCCTCCCCCGGTGGCCGGGGAATGAACCGGTGCAGCAGAGGCTGCAGGCAGTTTTGCAACCCAGCACTCAACCTCTGCGCCACCAGGAAGGCCCTAAATAAAGTTATCTATTTATTTTACAGGCTTCTACTTCCACCTCCCGATATTTATCCTTACCAAAAAATACAAAGCTTCCAGAAAAGCTGCAAAAGAAAAAGAACATCATTAATGCAGGTAATGGATACACTTGGGCCAGAAAAACTTGAAATTTATTTATAATGTCTATAAAATAGAAAAACGTCCCCACTCATCTTCATGAAGGACAGTGAGTTCAATCTAAAATAATAACACATTTTTGAGTGGAGTTCTAGGCACATAATAAATAATTTAATTGGTTATTTTCCATAATCATCCTATTTAATATAGTACAGCAAATGTTGTCATCATTTGATTAGTGAACAGTAAAGAGAAGCCTGTAAATCTGCAAAGGATTTAAATTTTTACAGTAGTCTAATACATTTGGTGGTCAGAAAAGTAATGACGTATTTTTTCTTTGAAAAACATAGAAAAAAATACATCATGACTTTCCATCCTCCCAATATGTTCATAAAGGCAACCACATACTTTACTTCTGGTTATAACTATTAAAACCTTGATATAAAGTCTAATATGGCTTTATTTGGTGGTAATCTTTATGTAAGTCCAAACTATTTTCTGTGAACTTCAGGAGAAATCTATTCGAATATCATTTTATTAAATGTAAGGCATAATAATGATAACCTTCTCTGCCCCTCTTTCTTGCTTATTTATTTGATTAGCCAAGAGGAGGAAAAACTGATGATGGCTGGTGGCAATGGACAGTGAGATGAGATATGAGATGAGAGAAAAATGGAGGAAAAGGCAGGGCTACCTATTTAAGAGTGGACTGTGTTACCAGCTTGGGTCCATCAGCAATGCTCTCAAGTCCAGCAGCCTCACCCTGGGAGAGCACCCCACCAGCTGACCTACCGGAAGTGTCCTGGGACCTGAATGTTGACAATCAACTAGTTCTAGCCTTGCTTCCTCCCTTTGGAAAGTGTACATTGATACACTTTTATGAAAATGTAGAAGAATAAGGAAGATTGTATATGAGATTCCGGATCAAGGCAAGAATCTTCCTAATAACTGCTGGTTACTGGTCAGTTTACTCTGCTTCTGACACTGAGCTGAGTCCTCCAGAGTCCTTCCTGTGGGGCAGAGGTCAGCACAGCTGCTTCTGCCAGGTGGACTCTGTTTGAATTCTGGGTATGCCATTACCAGCCTCAGTTACTTCATCTGTAAAATGGATGATTGAGAGGATTAAATGGATGAATGCATTCAAAAATATTCAGGATGGTGTATGGCTCTCAAAAGATTATGCGACAGGCTCAGGTCCTTAGAATTAGTGACCCTCTGACCCCCTACCCAACCCAGAGAACACAAGGACACAGCAGTTACATGACCCACTAATGTATTACCAAGTCATTTGTGACACCCTTTTTCTAAAATGCTTGCTCATACTCACGTTGTCCTTTGCTCTGTGGTAGGTGGCAATAGCAGTGACTCAGACATAGATGCCGGGACCACAGTCCTCAATTTGCAGCCACGATCAAGGCGCTTCTTGCCAGAACAGTTCTCAAAGAAAGCCCCGCAGACATATACAATGGAATGGAAGAATGAGGTAGATGTTGATTCTGGCCAAGGGAAGCCCTGTGCCCCCCAAGTTCCCCACAACAAAGAGGGGGGCACCCAGACTCCAGGTGTGTTAAGACAGCCCCTTCTCTCCAAAGGCCAGTTTAGCCTGAGGCGGGAAGACAGCATGACTGAAGGTGTCCCACCCAAGCCGCCTCCCAGGCTGGTACGAAGAGCATCGGAGCCTGGCAACCGGAAAACCCGATTCGGCAGCGAGAAGCCTTAATGGGAATGGGCAAAGCAGACCTGGGGTGACTGGGCCAGCCCAGATTGGTCCTTTACTTTGAAACCTGACACACAGTGGAATCCATTTAAAGCTCTATGCATCTAAATACTGTCTTTGGGTGGTATTGTCTTGCCATTGATAAATGGGAGGAAGACTTATCCCAAGAAGAAAATCAAAGAAAAAAAAAGTCCCATCAAATGTCCTTAATGACTTGTTGCTAGCAGTTGTATTCTTTGCAGTTCTAAAGAAAAAAAAAAGCGTGCCTTCATTGAACTTGAATGATAGAACTTTGAAATTTTTAACACATCCTATTGGTGAAATTTTTAATATATACTATGCCTCAAATTTTATTTATGAAGAAATATGTATATCTATTGTCAGTTTTTAAGTGTATGACTCTAAAAATATTCCAACCATCTGTCCAAAAGGTAATGGATGGGAGGCCTTCAGCTGCCTCAAGGCAGTCCTTATCCTAGCCTGATGCCCAGTTGGTAAAGAAGATCACAGCATGGAGTAGAGATACCAAAGACTCAATAAGGAAAACCTTCAGATCATCAGCTCTTTTTTAATTTGCTTCTCATTCTATTTTCATTTGGGGGTGACACCTGTAGTCCATGTCTCCTTATCTATATAGTGAAAAGAGAAAGGCTGTGTGGGTGAGACCAGTTTACAGTATGTGACAGACTTGGTACAGCTTTTGACGAAAGTTCCTTCTAAGTGAGTCTCATAGGCCGTTGGGGAGATAGGACAGTACCTGCTTACAGCTAGTTGGCAGGTTTTATATTGTGCAATACTAGGAGAAGGATGCAGGGGATTTCCTATCACGCCTACCTGCTTTAGAATTTTTCTGTAGAATATTCTAGAACTTTGAATCAAGGTTCAGACACTCCCAGGTCACAAGGGTGAAACAGTACTCCAATGTTTAAAATGTTGACAGAAATTTCAGGTTTTGAATTTTATTCAGGAAGCACTTTGGAGAATGTGGAATGTGGGAGTTCTATATTTTTGCACTAGCCTATAATTTGTTACCTCTTCCCCCTCAATAAAGTAATAACTCAATACTTCATAGTACAATGAATTCCACTTATCTGAGTACTTTTTTAAAAGTACAACAGAAAGAAAAGAACATAATCATTAAAGATTAACATTTGAATCTTGGTCTCTTAAATTGTACATTTTATTGCCCTGTCATTTTTGCTGAAAAACCTTGCTTTAAAACTTGTTTGGAGCAAGACTAAATGTCTTGATTTGGATATGAAATCAAGTCACTGACGTCGTCCCCTGGAGATACAGTCCCCTTGGAGATACAGTAAAGGAGACAAGTGAACATATTATTATTGGTGGAAAAACCTGAGTAAATTAAATGGAATGATTCAATACTGAGAAATAGTTAGCAGTGATTCTCTCAACTTTCTTCTAGCCCCAGCAATGTGCAGCAGTAAATCTACCCTCTTTTCGCATGTTGTAAAATTTTAGAATACTGCTAGATTGTTTGGTGTGAGAGAGAGGAAATGATAAACGCAAAAGGTACAAGTACACGAACAGCACAATTTCTTTCCCAGGCTCTCCCAAGCAGATCAGTGGAAAGCCATGTAGATCCACGACGAAAACTATATACTTAGGACCCTGTGCCAAATGCCTCTTTTAAAAGCAAATATTTATATAAAACTTATATTTTACCTGCTGAAGAGAAATTAAAGCTGATTTTCAATTTCGAAACTTATTATAGGAATATGATTCATAGAGATATGTGATGTGCATTTTTGAGAACACCAAGAGTAAATTTTCAAAAGTTAGAAATTATGAAATCTGACAAGAAAGGCAGAAATGGAAAATGACCTTAAAAGTAAATTTCCTGGTTTTCTATATTAATAAATATTATATGAATATCTCATTATCAGGAGTGTAACTTTCTGGAACTGAAGGAGAAAATGAAAGTTTTACATCACTTCTTTTTAAACAGGGAAACCATATTTGGGTTTCATTCATCAAAAATCACATGAAGAATTTGATGAGTAAATTTCTAAAAAGGAAACTTATGTTATCAGTGTAAATTTGTTCTTATTTGTTAAATGACTAAAATAATGAAAAATAAATTTGAATTCATTTAGCTTTTTCTCTACTTCTTTTTAATAAAATTATTAAATTCTATACCCTGTAGGAGAGAGTATGGAGTTGAAAACCTTTAACTCACTAGCATAACTATTTAAATTTCTATAACATAAAAAGATCCCCAGCCCTTTTAAGTGACTCCTTTATTTCACACAGCACTTGAACCAACCAGAGTTCCAATGGAACATGCCCAGGTCTTCAGTGTTTTTTTGTAACAAATTTCATTTGACTTGCCTTTAAGTGAAAAGTCTGAGCTTATTTCTTTATAATGCTCTGGTCCAGTAGCGGCAACAGTTATGCCAGTTAGCAAACTATTAGACACTGATACTTTTAAAAGTGTATTTGGTGTATGTGTCCCCAAAATATCTGGGATGAAATTTCCTTCATCTTTGAGTAAACTCTGTAAAGAGAGTACAGTTTACTTATATGTATATGTGGCGAGGGTGCATGTTTATGTAAAAAACAAACAAAAAAAGCACAGTTATTCATTATAGGTGGTCTTTGGTAACACTGTTTATTTAATTTTTTTTTTAATGTTGATGAGAAAAACAAAATAATTACCACCAGGAACATCTGCGTAGAATTTTCATGTTGGCACCACATTTGTGTGGGTTTTCCCTGGGTAATCTGGTATCTTCCCACATTCCAAAGGTGCACTCTTGAAATTCATTGATGTGTCTAAATTGTCCCAGTGGGAATCAGTGTGATGTGTGCATGAGTGTGACTGCGAAGGAGGGTGTCCTGTCCAGGCTGGGTTCCTACCTTGAACTCTGAGCTACCAGGTAAGGTTCCCACCACCCAAGACCCTGACTTGGAATAAGCAGATGGGAAAATGAGTGAATGAACCAATGATTGTTGCATGTTAGAATTGGTTGGGTGGGTCTTCATTTAGAAGGTTGGTGATGATGTTGTGGCCAAAATTATTCTGTAGGACCGTAATTCCTGTTTATATCATTCAGTGATAAAATTGGTCTCCTTATCTTTTCACTCTAAAATCAGTTTCCATGAACCTATCCAGGACTTTAAATGGATTTACGTTACATGACTCAGCATTTTTTGTATTTCTTTCACTGCCCAAATCCTGCTTATGTTAAACGGGGATTTTTGTCTGTAATATCTTTTCTTTGTTCAAAGTGTACACATAAACTTATTCACAAAGAGTTATGAAAGAGATCTTTTTGGAGCTGTTAGCAGTAGCTGCTGAGGCTTGAACACTATCTGTGGAATCCCTCAACCCAAACAAGAAAGGGTCAGGTGTCAAAACAGTGTGGTAATCTAGACTTTTAGTTGTTAGTTTTTTTCACTTTCAGAGCAAAATATATAGCTTGCTGATATTTTATGTACACATTTTAAGCAGGTTCTTTTTTTACTACACATTTGTGAGGCAAAAGAGAGCATTGTTTAGGTAACAGATGCCGAGCAGTAACCTTAATATTTTGTCTGGGAGAAAAGACATTTCCATTCAGAATTCCTTCCAATAGCATCCACTTCACATGTGGCTGCAACAGTGTTGTGCTAATGGCAGATGTGCAGATGAGATACACACATAATGCATTTCTGAAGAGTTTATTTAATGTTGCACTGTTATCTAGCTTTTCAATCCCTTTTGCTTTGTTTTCTAATTTTTCAAAAAAAAATTCTAACGAGTTTGAGTGCAAGGGGTGGCAGGGTGAGACTCCACTCAGGCAGCTTGAGTCTCATACAATTCAAGCTGCTGCCAAAAATGAGGAAGTGGGGGCCTCCAAGGTGAGGATCAGAGTGTCAGATGGAGTCTGCCCCAAGGACTCCCATTAAATTCGCTCAACCCACCAATCACAGCCTGCCTTTCCATCATCTCCTAATCATAAATCTTCTGCTGTAAATCTTGGGATTCCAGTGTGACCCAGGGAGAAAGGCAGCTCAGGAGACTGGGGGACACTGGGAAGCTTCCCTGGAGGATAGGTTTGTAGGGCGCACAGTGGGCTCAAGTTCCAGGACACTGAATGGGGGTGAAAGGTAAGGACCCACAGAGCTGGTGGTGGGAACTTGGTGGGAGGCTTGGAGGCCAAGTGGACTCTACTACTGTGGGTGGTAGCATCCATCCTTGCATCCCCATTTCAATAGCCTGCTCCCTTCCTGGCCATTCCTTGGGGAAGGAGACACAAGAGGGGATCCCACAGACTGCTCCTGCCCACTACCCCTGCACAGTAAACACCAAGTTTATGAGCAGAATGAGGCCTTGGAGACACTACACAGGACACAGACACCGTTGACATATACTCAACCTGTTTATTGAGGTTTTAGAGAAACGGGCTCAGCAGGGGTCAGAGGGACTGTGCTTAGTTGGCAGCCAGGATCTCCCGCACCCAGGGCATGAGCTCAGTGACGCGGGCATACACGCCAGGGCTGGAGGTGGAGCAGGTGCCGCTGCCCCAGGACACGATGCCCACCAGGGTTCAGGCTCCATTCTTCTGGCACACCAGGGGGCCATCAGAGTCACCCTGTGGGAGAGGGAAATGAGGATTCAGACCTGGTGGCCACATGGCCTGGCCCAGGGGCCCCCGGGCATTGTCATCACTGCCCAGTCTAGAAGCTGACAGCCTTGCATGCCCAGCACGAGTACACTGGGGAGAGTATGAAAGGAATATCAGCAACTGCTGTGGCCTCTGCCCCTGAAGTCTGGGTTACCCCGAGTGTGGGGTCCTAGAGTGAAGCTTTCATAATGTTGGTTTCCTAGATGAGAAGAAAGCAGGGTGGGAGGTGATGGGGCCAAGGTGAGGGAGTCCTCCTGGAGCCGCATGTGCTCCTGCCCAGGCTGCACACTGTACAATTCCAGGAGGTGCCATGTGCTGACATTGCGCTCTCACGGACATTTTGTCATCTGGGGGCTCTGACAGCAGAGGCCCCCACTCTGACACCCGTCTGCTGAGGTCATGGCAGATCCGTCAGGACCCTGTCCACCATGCTGCCCAGGAGGTCTAAGGGTAGAGGGCCAGAGCCTAAAGGAGGCCTTCTGAGACTCCATTTCCTCTCCCTCTACCCAGGACTCCGGCCTGAACTTTTGCCTGAGCCCACA